TCAGAAGAAAAAATTTTAATTATTTTTGTAAAATATTAAAAAATTAATGTTAGTAAAGTATACCAAATAATATTCGGTATATATTCTGAGGAAATATGCGAAAATGAATTCTCTTAAATTTCTGTTTACTTATATAACATTTAACCATATTTTTATTCGTTTTCTTAAATATGATATGCATAACTTAAGTATATATGCTAGAAATTAGTAAAGTTTTGTTTGAATTTTGATAACTAAAATTCAGTAACAATTTTGGCTAAGCATTTCTAGTCATTTCTATTCATTTCAATAAATTAACTGACTACTTTTCTACTCATTAATTAACATTTCTACTCTGTTGAATAAATTAATGTTAAGTTTAATTTCTGCTAAATTTAAACTTAACGTTAATTCATTTAAATGCTCTTAATTTTGTTTTAGTTAAAGAAGGAAAAAATGTTTCGTAATTTGTGGTGTAAGTAAAAATACATTATTTTCTAACGCTATGATTTTTATTGAAATAAAGCAAGAAAAAGAGAAAACTCAGAACTCGTACATTTTCTCTAACTATGTATTTAATAGACTGAAGGAGGACAATCTAATTTTCAAGAATTTTAGAATATTCGGAATTGCTGCTATTTTAGTTAGATATTTTGAGTTGTAACTCTTTTCATTAATAATAATTCTGTATTTATTAACTTCTAAGTTAAATTGAATTTCAGTTTGCATTTATTTTTAGGATTTTTAAGCTTACAATTTATTTATTTGTCATAAAAATTAAATTCATTATCTTAAATTTCAAATAAGTAAAACAAATACTGGAATGATATGATTTAATTAAATTAAAAGAAATTTCTGAAAAATCATAAGGTGAAAATAAGTGTTTAAATGATTAACATTAATAGCTGAAAGAATTACAACGTCGAAAGTTGTCACTTTTCAGTAAATAAATATTACAATTTAAATATTTTGAAATGAAGTGAAGTAGATAAATATTTTAAAGTGTAGGAATGTGGCAATTACACCCCTTCTTTCTCTGAGTATTTGTTTGATGAATATTAAAATCCTTACTAATTAGTCACTTGTATATGATCACTTAATGCTGGTAATTTCAGCCTAGGTTTCAACAGTATTACAACGTGCCAATATTTTACAGCGGCATTCCGCATCCATTACGTAAGATCTATAAGAGTTCTTAGAAAGTCTTCTGTGAAGAGAAGATTCTGTCATTAATTAGCTACCAGAATCTATTATCTTGAAATAAAATTTGGAGCATTATCTTCTTTCGCACACATTCTCGCTTACTTTCTGACCAAGTCTCCTAAGGGAATGTCTTGTAGATTTCAATATCTGCATCTTTCCTGAAATCAAATGAGTCAATTTGTACAGAAAAAATAAATGAATAAATAAATAAATAAGGCGTTAACTCTAAAAGTTTATTGGATCCTTGCATGAATATGCCTCTCTGACCACACAGCGGCTATTACGTAGTTCGATAAGTACGATACTTTCTTACACCTCTTTCTTCCGTCTTTTATCAGAAATTTAAAAATCTTTTCTATTAGCGTGATCATCTATCTGCTCTTGTGGAACATGACAGGCCGGAAGCCATTTTGCTACACAGATACCACAAATATGCAAAAATATCATATAAAAGTAAATAGAGGCAGCGAATTGTTTTGTGCTAAAGCTGTTATCGCACACAAAGGAAATTCTGCACAATTAACACTTTGATACAAATTTCCCCTTTCCTACTTATTTACCATACATAAAGAAAGATATATAATAATTGCAGTCGTGTAAGAAAATTTTGCATGGCAACGAATAAACCGTGTTTGAATACTTCCTACGAGCGCTACGAATTTAGCCCTGAAATTTCAGAGTTACTTCAAATGTCACGAATAAATGGCATTTTCTTGACTATAATTAAAACACGATTGCTGTGTGCCTTAAGCTTTTCGTCCAGTATACATCAACCCAAAATTGGATATATTAAAAGTTCGCTGATATTTCCATGTGTAATGAACACGAAAAGCCACCATACCATAACAGAATTGTGCGTCCATAACGTTGAGAGGAGAGGAGAGCTCTGCATTTAACTAGAGAAAATCGTGAACAGAGCGAAATTCAACACCATACGCAAGCGGTATACGATATTTCAAAGTTATATTCTTCGGAATGTGTATGGCATTCAGAGGTGGAGAAGAATCAGGCAAAAAGCAGTGTTCAACTACCAGAGGTTCGAGTGTTTTCTAGTTCTATTAATTCCTTGAGAAATGTGCTACACCATACTTCTGACTGAAAATTTCAGCTCAAGGCAGTAGCACTGCAGCATCGTGATTATGTTAGTTAAATATATCTGGGATGTGGTGAGAGATAGGGGCACATAATTATGCGAACATCAGGGAAAAATCCATTGGGACATCATTGTTAAACGGAACATTACCTACAGACATGTTCAAGACCAAATTCGGTTTTAGATGTGATGTCACAGAACGATAGCCTACAGCTTATAAAGCAGGCAAATATCTTGTTTTACACTCGCTATGTCTTTCTGTCCATACAACGAAAAGTCAAGCTTAGAGCGAAAAAAAGACGAATAGAAAGAAGGCAATTTTGTTTCAGAGAAAAAAAAATCGAATCATTTGATATGAAAATATTTAAATCAAGGTAAACGAATGGGTTAAAAAAGAAAAAAAAAAAAAAATAAGAACCTGTCATTTATGAAAAATTATTAAATATGGTTTTAAGACAGAAAAGATGAAAGAGAAGCGTGAACTTAACCATGAATGTATCTCAATGGGCAATAAACAACGTGTCGAAAATTAGAGAAGTTCATGTGATCTATCACTTAATAATGCAAGCCCTAATGTGCTGTTATAAATATATAGTATGTTGAGTGAGTAATAACCTTATATGAGTGAAAAGGGATAAAAAAGAAAAATGCTTCGGTTCAGTTGTTGAACTCTCCTGAACATTTGTTTTTCATCATTTCATCAAAGGAAACAACGAAGCTAAAAAACCCTCTGAATAGGAGTGTAGCGCTTTAAAAAACATTTTTAAATATTTTGTAGCGCTTTGAAAAAAAAAAAAAAAAGTTTACTTGAACTGGTTGAAACGTTGGCATAGCCAAAGGAAAAATGTGGGGGTCCAATTCGATAACAGTTCGAAATCGATATAGAAAGCTAACTTAAAGCTAAGACGGAAAGGTAAAATCAAAATGATCAAATAAAAAATAAGAGAGAAGTCCAAACACAAAATACAAGCCAATACGCTTACTTCCAATATGAGACATAACAGCAACAAAAACTAAAACAAAAATCAGACAAAAGTAGATTTTCATATATTTTTAGAGCACATCAGCAGACAAAAGTTACCATTTGAGACTATATCACCCCAGAAAAAACTATGTATACACATTTTGATGTGTTCAAAGTAGCAATAAGTTAGAACGGGCATTTAAGCTTCAGATAAAAGAATTAAATATTTGGAGTAAATTACCAAATATTACATATATTCACATAGTCCTAAGTAACGGGACTTTTATAGCCACGACGACCAGCGGCCGAGCGGTAAAGTCGCTGAACACTGGTAGTTCGGTCCGAGGTTCGAATCTCACGAACGGGCTGGCTGCATGGGCGTTTTCGTGGTTTCCCATGTGTAACGTGTATACGAGCCAGTTTCCCTTAGAAAGTCCTCCACGAAGGCATCCCTCCCCTTAGGCAGATAGCCCTCGTGTGCTTTGCCATAATTAAATACACACCACCATAGTTTTATAGCCACGAAGATTCCTGGGAGTTACACAGTAAGAAAAGAAATTACACTTATGATCAAGAGAAACCAGCTGAAACACGGCCAGGTAAGACTTAACAATCAAACAGAAAAGTAGAAAAGGAAATTTCTGGCAATAAATCACGAATGAGTAAGTTAGGCTTTAGAAATGGCTCTAATTTTTATTTATTAACTATCCCTGTGATGGGATAAAATTTATAAATCTAAGTACCGAAATTTTTAAAACAAAAATAAATGAGTAAGTGAAAAAAATCGCTCCGTGTTCGTACGCATTCCTAATTTCAAGGAGCGTAACATTCTCCCTTTTCCTCATTTGCTCCGAATACTGAAGGTCAACTAACTACGGTCTCTGTCAAGAAGAACGCCCTCCTCTTAAGTGTGTGTGTGTGTGATTATGGCAAAGCCTGGAGGACTATCTGCTTAAGGGGACGGATGCCCTCGTGGAGGACTTTCTAACAGAAACTACTCTTTTACACATGGGGAAAACCACGAAAACACCCATGCAGCCAGCCCGTTCGTAGGATTCGAACCTCGGAACGAACTACCAGTTTTCAGCGACTTTACCGCTCGGGCACTGGTGGGCTGCTCTTTACTTAAGACCAAGAGGTGTCTGATCAGTAAAATCTAATACAAATGAAGAAGAACGGAAGGAAAACATCCTACTTTGAGCATGAGATTTCAGATTATATCCATAAAGAAATATTTTAAATTCTTGAAAGGAAGATTGTATCCTTCTATAACTACTGAGAACAATAATGATGGTCCGTGTTGATAAAATAATTAAATAAATAAATTAAAAACTCCGAACTTTCTTAACTTCCGATTAAGAACGTTGACAAACTGAGGAAAAACTCTAAAACACATAAACACATTTCGCATCCTTTGCTACGTCCACTGCCCATTTGTCATGAGGTGCTGAATATTTATTGGCAGTATGACAGTCGCAGAAACATTATCTTGGATCTTGGATCATTACTTTGCCGCTGGTACACAATTTCTAAGAATTTAAACCAATAGTTCAAACTATGCTCTAAAGTCTTTCGTTTAATTTTATAAAATAAGGGTACATGAGGTTTGCAGATATATGCGACGACAAACGCTGAGAGTTTACGGAAGTTAGCGGGTCTCACATGACCGATGGCAACACTAAGAGGTTACCGTAATTTGCGCCAAAATTGAAAAATGAAGCCAAATGTAATTTTTCGAAGTAAGCAATAGACGTTTTCGCCATTTTGCTTGCACGTGCTGCTGTGGGGGAAGCAAGGTACGTAGTATTAGCGCTGATATTTTGTGTTTTAATTATCTTATTTTAGTTATGTGTTTGTCTAAGCAATCCAAAAAGATGAAAATACTCATAATCGGGGAGTCTATGATTAAGATTAAATATTTACAAGAATATTTGTCTGCGAATTTACCTGATTACGAAGTTGATTTTCTTTGCTTTCCAGGAGCTAGGATTGAAGGGTTGACACGTGAGATTGCTTTTATGAACAACCATTTTCATTTAGTTTTTGCCCACGTTGGTACCAATAATTCAAATGACGATTTAGATGAAATTCATCGTAAATTTGGTTGTCTATATAAGGGAATTGAACGATTAAACCCGAAGGTCATTCTGTTTTCAGGTGTTCTCCCACGATGCCCGGATTTATATCGAGATTGTAACACGTATCATCATAGGAAGATACTAAACATAAATTCAAGATTTCTCGCAACATACGAAGGTAAAGATGGGTTTTTCTTTTGCAGCTCTTTTGACTATTCTTGGAGTACTTGTTTATCAAGAAACGGTTTACACCTAAATCGGAGAGGTAATCAGCAGCTGGGGAAAATTTTTGTAAAAGATATCAGGATAAGTTTGACCGTTGCAGAGGTAAGTGCACCATTTTGTTCTACATCCCTTAGCAGTTTCCCAGCATTAACCAGTATTCCTTCTGTTCTGAGTACTCATTTGGGTAGTAATCTTGGTGCTTCTGTTTCCAAACCACTCTTTTCAGATGTTGTGAAACGTTCTTTAGTTTCCAGTGTTCGGGTTTGTAATTCTAGAGACTTTTTGTGCCATGTTTCTTCTTCTAAACCGCTTTATTCAGATGTTTTAAAGCATGATTGTTTTACTAGCTCTGTTTTGAATACTAATCCCAGTATTCCGAGTTTATCAGATTTTCCACTTCTTGAATATTCACTTGGCACTAATGTAAATTTTTGGATCCACCTCCTAAGCCACTTTACTCAGATGTTTTAAAACATGGATTTTCTAGTATGATTTTGGATAGCAGTTCCAGTGTTTTGGATGTATTAGATTTTCCAGGGAACAGCTTTAGTATTGGTCCTTCTGATTTGGCGACAAACATCGGTCGCCAATGTATACCGGCTTTCAAGATCGGAAAAAAATGGCGGATTGTCAACAAAATCCGATCTAGACTAAATACTAACTGTACATCTAAACATTATAAGAGAATAAAAGTATATCTTAATAAGAATATATCTAAACTTTATAATAATAACATTTAAAGACATGAATAATTTATAATAATAACATTTAAAGAAATGAGTACCTAAGTGCTTGCCATATAGTCAAATTTTTATATATAAATTGTACTCTTACTTTTATTATAGAGTTTTTATTACAAAAAATTCAGATTTCTGTTAGATAAAATGTTTAAGTAACGTAAAAAATTTGCATAAAATTAAAATAAAAAGTCGACTGTTATGTCAACATGCTATTAATAAAAAGTAATAATACTCAGTGAAGGTTTATTCATATACAGCTACTTAAGATTATGAGATTTACAAAATTTGAGAACTGTAAATTATAAGCAATATATTCCATAATCTAAGCAACATTATATTTCTTATAGTCAGTCAAATTATAAAAATGTTATAAAAGCAATAATTTTGGTCCTGATTTGAACCTATGAATTCATGCAATTACACATGCCTATAGTTCTAATATGAGGCAAAAAAGTATTTTTAGACCATGGTAATTTTGATCTCCTTAGCAAAGGAAAACACAAAGAGTTTACCTTAAGCTGCTCAAAATGTGTTTTTTTTTTTCCCTTGGGGAATGGAGTTTATAATAATATGCAGAGTTGACATATGAAAAAATGTCAAGACTCATGTGATGTAATATTAAAAGCATCAGTTTTAACTGTCAAATTTTAGCTTTTTTAAAAATATTTTAAATGTTGTGCTTTCCTAACACAAACGTAACTTTAAGAAAAACATGCAATTTATCCCTCCTGCCATCAAAGCTCCGATACTTACCAAATTCAATAAAGTTACGTGGAGAGAAATGGCGCCATGTTTTTGAGCTCAGTATTTAGGGTTACCAAGGTTATCATAATTTTACACTTATTGCTCCAAAATGTCGCCAAAAAGGACTAATACTAAAGCTGGTGCCTTTTCCAGCTCTCGAATGTACTGTCCACACTACATCAGGTGTTTTAAATTCTACTGGATCTCAACTTCCTGATACTGCAGCTATTTCTGAACTTTCTGGAAATTCAGTGTCTTAATTCTCAACCTGCAGGCTCTTCGAATTCCATTTCATCATCATCTCATCTTGGTATCAGTTTCAATTCTTGTACTTCCATGTCGAATTTTCCAGTTTTTAAGAGTTCATTTGTTTGCTCTGATTCAAATTTGCAGAAGGCTACTACTATCTGTATCTAAATTTTCTTTTATGTCGTTAGTCACTTCTCAGCCTACTGGCTTTTGAGGCTCTGTTTCATCTACTCAGCTTGTCACCAATTCCAATACTTGCCCATCAGTTGTTGGTTCTTGTGCAAATTTTAATTCTTACCATCCATATTTTCATTTTAACAAGTTTTCTATTCTTAAAAATTATTCAGAATGTTCTAACATTAAGTTTGGGGGTGCAAATGAATTCTACAGAAAGTCAGGGTGAAAATGGGTATGTTGAAGAAAACTGCAAAGTTATTACCTCTGTTAACCCAAATATAAAGACTATAATTTGTCCATGTTGTAAAAAGAAAGATTTCTCTTGTAAAGAAACTTTATCAAGACACAAACGTAACTGTAAAATTTTAAATAAGGATAATTTATGTACTACCATAAAGAATGATGAAATAGAAAATAAATATCCAAGAACGTGCGAGGTATGCATGAAGTCATATGGGTAAAGACAGTATACGGTTTCTTGGCATTTTGACAATTATCGTATCAAATTTGTATATATTATACATATCAAAAGTAAATAAACTATGTAAACTATATACATTCTTTGAATGTTTAACTCATCGTATATGTTTCGTTTTTACTGCTCATCATAAAGTCATCCCGTATATACTAGATGTGAAGACAGTCATTTTTTAATCATAAAAAAAGGTGTAAATCTGTGTCTTCTGAAATTGATTCAAAATCATATATTTGTGACAACTGTGAAATAGACTGTAAAACCCGCAGTAACCTTTTTCATCATAAGAAGTTTTGCTGTTCTAAAAATAATTTAAATATTCGTAAACCGTGTGTTTTTCCTGATTGCAAGGCATCCTTCCGGTTTATTAGTGATCATAATAAACATTTGGCTGAATTTCACAATTGTGAGATGGATGTGAAGGAGCTTACATTTTCATCAATGGTGGAGTTTCAGCTGTGGTTAGAATGTCATTCTAAGGAAACATTCAGTTCTTTTAAGAAGTGTTCTGGGAGTAAACATAAAGTTAATAAAGCATACCATTATTATTGTTGTCACTTCAATGTAACACAAAAAAAAAAAAAAAAAAAAAAACCAGTGCCAATTTCAAGTAGAAAAAATCTTAAAGGTTCTTTACCATTAGGCTTCAGATGTCCATCCAGAATTTTAGTTTCTGAGGAACAAGATCTTGCGACAGCTATTTTTTATTCAGGTCACAATCATGAGCTGTCGTTTGAAAATACCAAATTTCAACAGCTTAGTCAGAATTGTCGTGATCAAATCAAAACTTATGCTCAGTTAGGTGTTTCCACCGATCAAATTCAGGAATTTATCCGAGATGGAAGTGGATCACGTGTGATAATAGAGAGAGCTTAAGTATTAAAGATAATTTTGTAACATGTAGGACTATAAATTACTATGTAAAGCGTGTAATGATTTCTTCTCTTAGTGATGATTCACTTTCTGTTGCTGCCATAGGTTGAGAAACTTAGGCAGGAATCGTATGACCCTATTCTTATTTACAAACCTCAAGGAAAACCAACATTGTATGGTCCGAAAGGCCTTGACACACTGTCTTTTGCACTAGGATTGCAGACAAAGGAGCAAAAAGAAATGATGATTAAAGGTTGTAGCAGGATTTTATGTATAGATTCTACTCACAAAACAAATCAGTATGATTTTTATTTGCTAAATTTAATTGTCCCAGATGAATTTGGTAGTGGTTACCCCGTAGCACATTTTATTTCAAATCAGTTGGATCAGGATACGATGTACAATTTATTTCTTAGTATCAAATGTGTAATACCTGAGCTTAATATTAATTGTTTAATGACAGATGATGATAAAACTACACATCCTGCATTTGAAAAACCATTTGGTCCAGGTATTAAACATATACTATGTAAATGGCATGTACATCGTGCATGGCAACGTAGTTTATTTCGAATGGTTTCAAGTCAAAAACTTAGGGATGAAATTTATTTTAATTTAGTTATATTGCTTGAAGAAACTAATTCTTCTTTATTTATTTCTATGATGGATAATTTCCTTCAAAAGTTTCGAGCTGTTGCACCATCGTTTGTAAATTATTTTGAGGAGTATTATTATTGCCGAGCAAGTCTGTGGTCAATGGCATACAGAAACTTCCCTCATGCATTCACAGATACTAACATGTATTGCGAGTCATTTCACAATAAATTGAAAACTATGTACTTAAAACGTAAAATTTAACAGACGCCTCGATAATTTAATTAATGTGCTTTTAAAAATTGAAGAAGATATTTACATGGCTTATAAGTATAAAGTTGAAATTAACTGTAAAGAGAGCATCTACCACCAACTTATAATAAATGACATGAATCTGGAATGAAAATACCTGATAGTAATGAAAATACCCACTAGTAGCAGAAACACATCCTTGTTTGTGGTCTATAAAATCACAGACACGTAAAAATATTCAATATACAGTTAAGCGGTTGCATGAACTATGTTCAGAAACAGATCATTGTTATTCAAAGTGTATTAACCTCTCCTGTCTAAATCTGTGTCATCATTTATATAATTGTAATTGTCCAGACTTCAGCACACTATGTAAACACGTACATAAAATACACTCAATTACATGCAGGCAACCAAGTCCTTCTGTAATTGCAACAGATATCCTTAAAGCAGAAAACTCCTCCCCTCTAGAATTGATTAAAAAATCTAATGCTATTTCAGATACTGTTGTGTGTAACACTGAACCTAAAATTAACACTTGTAAGACTTTAATGTCTGAATTATTAGTTATGTTGCCGCATCCGACAATCCAAAAGATATTAATACCTAGTATAACAAAGAATTTAAAAGATATAGTTTCTAATTGTAAAGGTGCAATAAAATCAAACCATTTGAAAGATTTTTCTGATAAAATGCCATTTACTCAGGTTGCTCCAAATTTAAAATTATCACGTCAAACTCTGTTTCGTACAACATCTGTGAAAGGTATAAAACGTAAAATTCTAGATTATCCCGATACTTATAATAAAAAAAATGTCAAGGAAGGTTTGTTAGGGTTATCAAATAATATTAATGTGAATGATCATAAATCATCACAGGATACCACAATTAAGGTTAAGGGTAGCAATTTACTTAAATATAATTCTTTTACCTCTGAGCTTAATGTATCCGATATTTCAAAATGTGTTCTGCGAGCTGGGGAAACACTTCTAACATTT